CTTTTTTATAGGAATCTGTAAAAGTGACATTGTTAGCAGAGAATCTAATGAAAGTACAGAAGCCTTTTCCCTTCTTGATGAACAGGCCTCTTTGTCACATGAAGCTCCAGCTAAGGTCCTCCAAGATCTTATTGCCTTGCCTTCCGCCACTTCCCCTTTGGTGGCTATCAAGCGCCCTGTAAAGTTTATGCACACACCTAATATGGCTGAAAACAAGTTGAAGCTGCTGGCTAGTGAATGCAACGAGATTTATCCCACTTTGCCGGACGTGATAAGCAACGATGAAACTACACCGCCAGATCTTCAGAATGGGGATTTAAAAAAGACAGAAATTTGTGGAGCTCAGGGAGATTTGCCTGCCTTTTCTGCGGGGGTTATCAACAAACTTCGATCTAGCCCTCCAAAAGAGGTAATAAAAGCGAGACAAGAAAATGTCGAATCCTGCTCCGAAGAGGATGTTGAAAGTCAGGGACTCAAATTAAAAGGAACTAGAGAGAGTCTACGAGATCAAACGGTTAGAATGGGGCCAATTTATTTTAACTCAATTGAATGTTTCTTTAATGAAATTTACTCCTTTGACCTTATTACTTGGTAACATCTGACAAAGATAGTTAGCAAAGCTTATACTTCAGTTGATATCTTTCGTTTTAATAGGGTTTTCGAGACTATCAGTAAATTAGATATATGAGATGTATTCACCCTATTTCGTTTAAAGTCATGGAGTACTGCTAGTTGAACTTTCCCACAATAACATGAGTAGACTTTACGCTTCCATTGAATTTCACATATCCTTGATTTTCTAAAGGTATTATCATCCAGGGTGAGCTGCAGTTTCGACCTCGCAATGTCATGGTTCAAGTCCCTCTGGGGATGTTGATGAGACCCAGGCGAAGTTAAAACGGTAGTCCGCCCTAAATGAGAACATTTTTTGGGAACCAACGCTGTGGGAAATTTAGGGAAAACGTAAGGTCTACTCATATGATTGTGAGAAAATTCAACTACCACTTAATCACCTTAAACCAAACAGGTTGGACACATCTCATACAACTTTAGTCGATATAATAAAACTT